TCTGTGCACAACGCTAACGCATAAACCGTTGAGCCGATTTTATCCAAAATTGATAATCCCCAATCGTTCTAGCTGATGTCGCGGACACTGGAATTTGAAGCCGATATTTTCAGTTTGGGAGTACTTTTCCATGATGCCCCTGGGACCTTTAAAAAATGGCTCCAAATTTGTTTATTAAGTTTTGTTGTTGAAGAATGCCTGGGACGTTTAAGAGAATGATGCAGGTTTAATTTTTGTTGACATCTCTGATTTTTCGAAAATTGGAAAACTAATTTTTGAATCTTCAACATTGGAGATAGAAATTTATGTTTCAAGCAGAGTCTGTTTAGCTCTTAAAACGTCATGTATGTTTTAAAAAAAACAGTAAATTTTGCGTATTTTGCGACCAAAATGTTAAAAAAAATCTCAAAAACAGCGGCTGACATTACAAAATATGAGCAAAGAAATCAAATAGGATACTCAGGAATTGATGAACAAAATTGTTTCATCAACGGGTCAAAATGAAGCATTGGAATATTTTTAGAGCTTTCGAAAGCCTTGGACGTTATTGACCATACAATCTTGCTATCAAAATTACCTTGTTATGGAATTCGTGGTATCACCCTAGATTGACTAATCTCGTACCTAAAACATCGATCTCAAAGAGTAGAAATACCGTACTGGCACGAAAGGACATTATTTACTTATCTTTCCGATTCTTTATCAATTGAATATGGGGTCCCGCAAGGTTCGATCTTAGGTCCGGTCTCTTTCTGTTATGCGTAAACGATATACCCTCGTCTCTTAAAAACAGAAGAACGGTTCTGTTTTCCGATAACACGAATGTTCTTTGCGAAAAAGAAACAATAAATAGTATGAATTTAGAAGTTCCAGATTACTTTTGTAATAACAAATTAATAGTTATCGAAGAAAAAACAGTTTCAATGCATTTTTGCCTTTCAAATCAGCAATTGCATGTTCCATTGAAAATGAACAATATGCACTTAGCTGATACCAAAGTAACCAAATTTATAGGTCTCTCAATTCATCAAACCTCAAAATGAATGTACATATAACGGAATTAAACGCACAATTAAGTCCATTATTTTACGAATTCAGAATTCTTTCAAATTCTGTTAGTCTTCATGCAACTCGTTGCGTGTATTTTGCAAATGTCCCTTCCGTCTGAGATATGGCATACTATCCTGGGGAAGCTCATCGTGTAGTACCCAGATCTTTGGATCGTAAAAGAAAATTATTCGACTAATGAAAAAATGCCATCCGCGTGATCCTTGCATGTCCCTCTTCATTGAGCTTGGAATCATACCATTGACCTGCCTATTTATTTACGAATATGTAATATTCGTCAAAACTGACTTGCTTAACGATAGGAACATATTTTCGTGCAATAATGATGTTTATAATTACAATACATGTTGGAGATAATGACACATTCATCAAGTGTCATTATCAATTGCTCACTATCAGAAATTCACATACAATACATGTACGTTACTTTACAACGCATTACCAGGTGACATTAAATAATTGAAGTCGATTCACAAATTTAAGTTAAAAGTAAAATATTTTTCTGTTGCATAGCTGTTTCTATACAATTAGACTATACTGACCATCAAAAACAATAATTTTTATTTTAACAAAACTATGGTACCTTCATTGAATTAGTTTACATTTGTACTGTATATTATTTAAATACTTAAAATGCTTGTAACAAATAATGTACTTCAGCTTCCGGGTCAATGACTCCCATCTCTTCGGGTTTTTTGTCCAGCTTACCTCATACATTGAGCAAATGCTGAGATGGCGCCTTGTTTTGCTTCTGGAAGTGAATGTAGCTTCACTATACGCACGTTTTGTTGAACTCTCCTTTTGCTTGGAGGGAGAAGAAGAGGTAAGGACGAGTTATTATTTTGTTAGCAATGCAGAAAAATCATATCTGCAATTCGTTTATCGTTGCAAATAAGTTTTCTATAACTCACGAACGAAA